CCAATGCTTATTATAAATAACCCGAATGTAAAGTAAATTCGTTAATTGAGACATGATACATAAGCAATGAATACTTAAAAATAAAATCTCGATATTTTTTAATCACATCGCTATCACATTTTTTTCTCGTGAATAAAAAAAAAATATATAAAGTTTAATGTGTTTATCAAGCGATCTACGAATCGTTTATTTACCTTGTTTTTTGATTTCAATCCAAAAAAAGTAATGATTTTATATACAATTAATTAGTTTTTTTCATCCCGAGTTAATAAACGGAAAGCAACTTTTTTGATAAAAAATTTCTCGTGTTGAGGATTAAGAGCTCGTTGAGAGGTTGCATTCGATTGTCGAAAGCAAAATCTCGATTTTTTTCATCCAAGGATTGGTAAACCATTTCGAAATTTTCTCGGGGTGAAATAATGAACCATCAATTATTTGTTATAATGTTATAAATTAATTTCTTGAAGCATTTTTTTTTTCAAGTTTTTTTTTTTTGTTTTTTTATTGAAGTTCGTCCAACGAACAAAAAGAATTGAAAAAAATATTTACATTAAAAAAAATAAACGATAACTATACTATTTATGTATTTTTATGAATGTGAAAATGTGGAAATGTGACAAAAGGAAGAATTACTGATCTACAAAAGGTTCTTTTATTATATACTTTTATTTACAAAGAGAAAAAAGGGTTCAGGAGAGAAAACATCCCAATATTTCTTGTAACTAAACTTATAAATAATAAAAAGCATATTTTATCCCGTATAAAAAATAAAAACAAAATTTATAATAAAATATTCTTAATCGCCATCTTTGCCTGCAAATATGACCCGACTTGCTCGACTTGCTCGACTTGCTCATTAATTTCTCATCCAAGTATGCCCTTATCTTTCTCATAATTATATTATATATTATTATTTTTTTTTTTATATCTTAGTAATTAATTTTGGATTTATTTGCATAATTTTTTTTTTTTTAAGTACAGTCTTATTTATAAATTTTCGTTGTCAAAATTTATTTTGTGTACGGGGCTCGGGCAAAAGCGAACTGGCCACTTGTTCGGACATATTCTTGGATGACGTTACAATTACAAGTGCTATGAGCAAGAAGTTGATTTTTCAATCTTAAAGCTTCCTCTCTGAGATCGTTTACGATTGAGTGCAACCCCGTGTTCTTTTGCGTCAAATCTGACGCTTGGTGTTGGAGGCTCTCTTGAGCTTGTTTTTTCTTTTGACGACATTTTGCGGCTAAGAGGAAGAAAAATGAGTTTATAAACAAAAAAATGTTTTAACAAAATGTCCAATAAAAAAAAAAAGTGAATTTACCTGCAATTCGATTTCTTTCCAATAATCTGGACCTTTTTTCCTCGGGTGTCTCGTCGTGACCATCATCCAGAGAATTTCTTTTCACGCCAACACACGACGTCGAGGTGGCAGGATCAACTGATGATGTCCCTGATGACGCGTCCAAGTTGGATGAAGTGTTTGTTGAGTTTGCGTTTGAAGTCGAGGTGGAAGGGCCTTCATTGGTCTCGGTAGAAGTAGCCTCACCAACTGCTGAAGATGATTGATCAGATGAATTTGCGGCCATAATAGCTTGTTCTTGACTATCCGAATGAGATACATCGC